ACCATTTTAAAATAAATTTTCAATTATTTTTTTTAATAAACGAAGAATAATTATTTTATAATGTTAAAAAGTTTGAATATATTTATATATATATTTTTTAAAATAATAAAATATTTTTTTAAAATTATTCATTTCCTAAAATATATCGTATATATTTGCATTAATATATATATATTACAAATAATTTTAAGGTAAATATTTTTTTTTTCATATTTATTAAACGGTAAGACGCCATGAAGGTAAGAAAAACATGATTGTGGTCAACGAGTAAAAACGTTTGAGGAACGCTGCAGTGTACATGTAATAGTTAATGAAAGCTAATTGATAAAAGATGTGATTAGTCTTGGTTAAAATAATTATTACAAATTTAAAGCATATAACTTTGATTTTTTTTCTTCTAATCTTATCGTTTTGATTTTAAAATTATTTTGTTAGCCACAAAAATCAAGAAACCTCATCTTTCTACTCAAAATGTATTCTTTTTCAAAAGATTTTTTTTTAAAAATATATTTAGGCTTACAATGAGAAACTTCATTGAACGTCCGATTGATATAAACACTAAATTAATACTGTATTATACTCTGTTACGCACTGGCTTCAAATAGGAGAAATTAATCTCCTATTTTAATTTTATTGGCTCCTTGTAAACAGTGCCTAACAAAGGACGATACCATAGAATCAACAATATTAAAGATGCGACACTCAGAACAGTTGCCAGCTACAATTAATTAAGATTTATTAAGTATTAATAGAATAACAAAACAAAAGAAATATAATTATAAATCATCAGCTTACAATTTGGTAGATCTTGTTCCGTACACAGTTAATACAATGTGTCAATTAATAATGATAAAAGCGAAATAAACACATAAATACACAAATACACAATACACTTCTCGTGAAGTTAATAATTATCTATCTGAATCTCCGTCTCTCCGTCCGTGCCTGTCGATCCCTTATATAGGTCGCGTAAGCCCTGCCTTCCAGAAAAGACTTATGAAGTGTTGTTTACATTTCTCAGGTTTAGAGCACATTCGAGAAAATACCAGGAAGACAGTCTAACATGTTTAATTGGTAAACACGGTTGTGAACAAGATACATCAAACGAATAGGCCATGCCCACAACAGACGTTACTGTCTGCTAGAATTCTAATTTAGGTCAAGTAAAATTCAAGCACGGGAAATGTATGCTACATAACATACTCTAAAAACAAATATATATGCGATGTAATAAATAAAACCATTTGAATTTATATGGATCAATAAAAGAATCGTATCGAATCTTATTTTAAGTTCATGAAAATAAAATGATGTGGTTAAATGTATATATATAATTTATTAGTCGTAATCGATCATGACCATCTTTATCATCGAGAATGTTCTAATTGTGAACTTGGCTGTGGGTGTGCAGATGGCTGATGAGACCGATTCTGGCACGAAATGTTCGTGCGCAATAAAAGCAGCGGGACAGATGGTACGTCTTTAAAGTTAACCCGGGATTTTTCTACGATAGATGCAATCTCTTGATAGCAGACTCTTTGTAAATTTAACTTTAGAGACGAGGTAGCTGTCAAATTGTCAACATAGTAGAAGTCGTCGCCATCTTTTAATCTCATAAATCATGCTCAATCTTTGAAATATTCAATCATTCATTCTAAGTCCAAATACCTTCAGATTCTTAAAAAACAATAAAAATATTCGTTTGAAAAAGAGCAATGAAAACTATTTAAAAAAGAAGACTTCTCTCACAAGACAGACACTTCAATAACTACAACAGCTGTGATATTTTTAAAATATATTCTAAGTGTGATGAAATTAATATGTGAACGTTGCATTTGCATAGAATTTATGGACAAGTCATTGAATTTGTTTGTAAAAAGTGGCCAAAGAATACACTCTGATAATCACAATTTATTGCTTTCCAAAATGATAAGAGTTTGATTAGTAACAATCCAGCTTGTTGCCCCTAAAAACCTCTACTTAAGCAGTCCCACTTCATTTAGTTTTCCTATTTTATCGAAGTGCGTCAGATCAATTTCACATTGTTTTAAATTAAGCATTTCGTTTATTGGAGCAGCTGGGCGTCTATGGCGTTCTTTGTATTCGAGTAGCTGGGGGTCCATGGTGCCTTTTCTTTCGGGGCTGCTGAGATCTATGGCACCCTTTGTATTGGAGCAGCTGGAGGTCTATTGCGCCTTTTGTATTGGCGCAGCTGGAGGTCTATTGCGCCTTTTGTATTGGCGCAGCTGGTTTCTATGGCACCTTTTGTATCGGAGCAGCTGGGGTCTATGGCACCTTTTGTATTGAAGCAGCTGGGGTCTATAGCGATCTTTGTATTGGAGCTGCTGGTGTCTATGGCACCTTTTGTATTGAAGTAGCTGGGGTCTATGGCGTCTTTTGTATTGGAGCAGATGGAGTCTATGGTGCCTTTTGTATTGGAGCAGCTGGAGTCTATGGTGCCCTTTGTATTGGAGAAGCTGTAGTCTATGGTGCCTTTTGTAGTGGAGCAGCTGGGGTCTATGGCGGCTTTTGTAATGGACCATCTGGTGTCTATAGCGCCCTTAGAATTTGAGCAGCTGTGGTCTATAGCACCTTTTGTATTGAAGCAGCTGGAGTATATAGTGTCTGTCACAGATCTAATATTAAGATATTTAGAAACACTAAAACCAACCTTATACGTGAGCAGAGCCCTAAATAAATCTGAAATAAATAAATCCACAATTGAAAAATAATGTTTAGCAATGTCTTTAACTAAACTGCAGAAATATCTCTTAGGAAGAAAATTTACTTTATTAACTGACCAAAAACCATTAATAGCCTTAAACAAAAAGAAAATTGCTAACAGCAAAATAAACAGATGGTCTCTGATTTTAGCTGACTATAAATTTGACATAAAATCCATAAAAGGCAAGGATAACATAAAAGCAGATTTCTTATCCAGACAAATTGACAATACTGAAGATGACAAACAGAACTGAATCACATAAGTCAGAGAAAGTAAATAATTTTATGTTTTTATAATAACTTTGATACAATGAATAACATAAGACACATCTAATTGTTGCAACTAATGAGGACATAATCTTTTTTTTTCATTTTGGTATTATGACACAATCTATTTGTGACTTAACTGAAGGTATGTACATAAAGATAGTTTTGAAATATTGACTGTGAATAGATTCAAAAATGATTAATGTATATTTGTAATGATGATATAAAATAATGTTGATTTTAATGACATAATGATGTTGATTACATAAAAATTTTATATTTTTTATGTTATTTCATTTGTTGTGATAAAATCGTGACAATATACAGACTGTAAGTCTTGCTTCATATGACTGAAATTAGTAAAAGAAGGTATAAACCATGCATCATTGAGAATGTGTAAGACATGCATCCAAAAGCACACTATTTTGATTAATGAATAATCACTGAGCAGAGGTGTATTCCTGACACGCAATAGTTGAGTACTATTTTTATGAGACACATTATTATGATTATTTTAACTGATTGAGCAGAGGTGTATTCCTTCCACAACTTAGAATTGACAAGAGATATTGAGATGACATCTGATTTATAAATAAATTTGATTTAAAATCAAACAGATATATTAATATTTGATCAGGATACAAAGTGTACGTATAGTGTAAATTTATTTATGATGAACTTGTACATATGTTTTAAGAGTGGTAATGAAGGATTAACTATGAATAGTTCTTAATTAATTGATAGTATTTTGCACATTTTACTTTTCAGATATTTATTTTTGTGCTAAAAATTTTGTTGCACAAAATTTTTTCATTAGGGGCGGGGCGTATGTCACAGATCTGACATTTAGATATCAAATATTGTTTCGTAAAATAATATATTGTTTTGTTAAGTAGAAATAACATGAAGTTAAGTAATTATCAGATGGAAGACTCGACTCAGTGACAGTTGGAGAAATAGTTATTTAGCGCTTGCAACGATCATTTTAAATATTAAACAACATCTTAATGTTGATTTGTGAGGTGGAAGAAGTTTTATATATGTATGACACTTATATTTACTCTGATCTACAGAGACATTATTTCATTACGTGTTCGTTGATCAGTCAATGAACGTCGTGGTGCTAGTTCAAGTAGTTCTCTGGTACTTGTTTGGACAAGCATGGTCGTATGATGATGAATAGTGTAAGCTATAATTACAAATCTACAAGTAACATCATAACCACACATATAGATGAATGTTACAATGCCCTTTGTTTTGAAGCAGCTGGAACCTATGGTGCCCCTTGTTGTCGTTGACTTTGCAGACCCACGAAGAATAAAACCAAAAAAACATGAAGAGCTCGCTCATATATTATAAACCATATTTAGAATTATAACGGCTCTTACAAATACCGTCCCCAAAGAGTGCTGCCTGGGAATGTGAGTGCAACATGGCGGACGCGGGGTCTTGTAATATTAGCCCTAACACAAGCCCCTCTTCAAATGAATCTCTGTTGACGTTTCATTCGGCCAGATGCATATTAAACTAAGCGATCTTCGCTAGTGGGTGGTTTATGCGTATAAAATAAATTAGTATTTTAAAATAACTGCTAGATAAAGATATTTTTAGATAGTAAAAGTCATATATAGAGTTGTAAATTAATTCATTAAACGCTGACGACATGTCTCTCAATTATCCAATTTCTTACATCTGTCGCTCTGCGTACACCACTATCCGTCAAATCAGCTCCATCCGCCGCTACCTCACGGATAGTTCAACAAAAACCCTAGTCTGTATTCATGTTCTCTCTCGTCTTGACTATTGTAACTCTTCTCTGTCAGGTTCATCAAAACATTTCTTAGAAAAACTACAGAAAGTTCAAAACTCAGCTGCTATGTTAGTTGTAGAGCCAAAGAAACGTGATCAAGTCACTCCACTATTTTACTCACTTCATTGGCTCCCTCTACAGGCAGGCAATGATTACAAGCTGTCTGTTCTCTGTCACAACTTTTTCTCTGGTTGCTGCTCTTCCTATCTTACTGAACCTTTACTGTCTATTTATCCCTTCAAAAGCTTCGTTCCTCCGCAGACACGCGTATTCTTTCTGTTCCCAGAAAACGCACTAAAACATATGGTGAACGATCTTTCTTTTTCTGTGTCCCAAATAATGGAGTTCTCTTCAATTACACATCTGCAATATACTGACCATCCCAGCCTTCAAAAGACCCAGTTCTTCAAACTGTACTATACCGACTCATTCTAATCCCTCCCCCCCACTCTTCTCTAACTGACAAACATAGCTCGAGTGTGCTGTCCATGGTTAGACAGGGGTAGATAGTACTTGGGTAGGTGAGGTCCAATTTTTTACCAATTGTCTTTAAATCTATAATTTTCTTTAATTGCTAGTTTTATGTGAAGCGCCGTGAGCCTAGCCCTAGGCTGGGGTACTGCGCAATATAAAAGCACCTAATAATAATAATAATAGTGCAGGTCTTCCCAATCAAGAGTGCTCACAGTAGGAATTAGTGAGATGGATATCAAAATATTTAAGGAGAACTGATATATAACTGCATGTTATGACTCACCATTTTTAGTTCTAAAAGTCTTAGATGTTTTCGTAAAAAAATTTTGAAGTCCTTTTTGTTTCCAGTTTAAAAATGAATTTATTCCGCATATTTTTTTATTTAGTTTTGCTTAGAAGTTTTATCTATAGTTTTAATTCCGTTTTCCGGGACTCATTTTAATATTAGTTCATCGTGTAATTAATATATCTGATCGTTTTTAAACGACACACATTAAAAGTATTGTAACTTCTTACTTTTAGAAAACACATACATTATAGTAAATCGATCCTTGAAATTTCTTCTTATTGTGTCACGTTAAAAAAAAAAAAAAAGAAATTCTCTATTTTATTACAAAGTTTTTTTTTCAGAATTAACTTTACTTAATAAAAATACAATTCTGATTAATGAGCTGAATGGAAAAAAATTAATGAAGTAATATACCCAAAATTCTGATCAATGATGAAAAATAAAATTAAGTCAAATGCTTTTTTTTTAAAATATAGATAAAATGCGCTATATGAGACAGATTACAGATTACATAGGTGTGACAAATGTAACAATTACAAAAATGTATTCATTGGTTTCATAACTTTAAATAAATTGTAAATCGGTATTCGTCGAACGCAATGCAGTTATTTGAAAAAATAAGTGGACGATGATGTTGAAGTAACACAAAAAGTTAGAATAATGAGATTTTTTATTTCAAAAACTATGTTTTTATTTTGAATGATTTCAGGAAATTATTATTTTCTTAATGCTAATAACTCACGTTCGCCTGTATTTTAAACTTTTTAAAATACAAAGTAATGTGTTTTATTTGCACCATCCTAGGAAATAAATAGATTTTTAAAACGTTTCTTTCAACAACAGGGTCAAAATATCGATCCAAAAACTGTTCATTGTTTTTGTTTGAGTCATTTACCGATTTCAACTATACATATCTGTAAACTGTGATCCAAAAATATATATCGATACAAAATTGAAGATAGAACAAATAGGAATGCACAAAGTAGTCACAAAGTCAAAAGGCTAAATTTTGAATTAATTTTCTCTACATTATTTTTTTTATTTTTAAGTAAATCAGAAAATAAGATTTTTTTACCCACTGAAGGGATAAACGATATTACGTCTAGATAAATTTTGTTTCCAAGCTTTACTGTATGTATGAAAGACAACGTTTTAAGATCAAATGAACGCATTCAAATAGACTTATAATTTTAAAGAGATCTAGTTCTTTGGAGACTTTGATTAGCTGTGCAACGAGATGTTGTAACTGCCATACTGCCTACAATATGCAATGGATTATGGCGGCCATCAGAAGAGCAAGGATTGAAACATGGATAACACTGCCTCCGTCTGCAATAAAAGATAAATAAAATTAGTGCAAACTTTATTTAAGTTAAAAATAGCACAAATACTCGTGCTCACATCATTATGTTTTTAAAAAAGAAATTTGGATAAAACTCAAGGTTGCGAAATAATATAAGTCTCGGTTCAGTGTGGAGAAATAATTATATCGTTATCTCCTTCTGCTTCCACTTAAGCTCGATCAGTGGGCATAATTTATTGTATTTATTTGTTTTATAAATTTTTAAATGTCCTGGTTTTAAATGTAGAAATATGGTAACCTTAACATAGACGTGTTTGTATGTCAGAACAAACATGGTCAATGTATAAAGTTAAGTTAAATCACTGAAGTGCCTTTCTGAAAGTAAGTGGGGTAGATCAAATATTTATGTAATCGTGTGCAGGCAACCTTTCTTCCTGTTTTCTATAAGGTTTGTTGTGCAGTTACTTAGCCTGGGTGTTTGGAATTTTAATTTTCTCTGGCATTTTTTTAAATTTATTAAACCCCACCAACAAAATATTGCTTTGTTACACCTTTGTACAAAAATAGTATTTGAACAGCATCATGTAATAATAAAATTATGCTAGGTGGCAAATTGGTTTAAACTGAGACAATAACAAGCTTGTGGACTAAGATAAATCCCTAGCAAAAGCCTAGAAAATAAAAAATGACCCAAGAACACCGGCTGGAAAACTTTGAAATGAAACTCACACAATAAAAATTCCCACAACAATTAGTAATCTTACCACATATCTCTTTTCCAAGTTTCATATCACTTCCTGTTGAATCGGATAGGCAAGGAATCAAAATGCAGCCTTTGTATTCAAAAAAGGCACTGCGGAAAAAAAGAATACACACACGTTAAAATGAGAGGTCTGACCAGAGATAGATATTACATCGATTGTGTTAGTGGGATAAAGTCAGAGATGACGAATGCGGTGTAAGGTGCGACTTCATGGCCATTGGGTTTCATGGTGCCGAATGTGGAGCTCGAGCTGGGAGCTGTGTTGTCCGTCCAGTTTTAGATTATGCATCTTCAGTCAGGGACCCATTTACCCAGAAAGCATCGACAGGTCGGAGGCGGTCCAGCGACGGGCAGCACGCTTTATCCTGAACCGATACAGGAATGCCTCTAGTGTTGGCAGCATGCTGGAAACACTAGACTGGTCAAAATTGGAGAAACGACGACGACTATCCAGGCTCTGAATAATGTACCAGATAAATAATGGGCTGGTCCACTGCTCCAGTATTAAACAGAAAATCGTCCCTCTCCCCGTATAGGTAGTGACGAAGCCATGACAGGCAATTCCAGCTCATACCAGCGAGAAGCCAGTATAGGAACTGCTCATTCGTTCAAACGTTCAAAAGGAACAGTTTAGACGACAACACTTGACACATTTACATATATTGCCTCAAGCCTTCCAACCCCCATTGCATGATTCCTTCACAAAGTAGCCCTTGCAACCAGTGAAATATCCTCTACAACACAGAAGGCACAGAAACAGTGCAAATCCCCTCTACATGCATAGTAGCCAGAATGATCAATAAATAGATCGTGGGCCCTTAATATATAGAAGAAGAAGACGTTTTTTGGTACTAGACATAGTCATTTTCTCCTATTTAAAATGAGATCTTGAATGAAGAAGCCAGCAACACCACCTACTAAGTTGAAGTCGCCTTGGTTGACGTCGGCAAGATGGCAAGATACCAGGAAATGTAACAATGCAACGGGATCTAAGCCAGGTAAAGCAGACCCACGGGCAAAAAACAGAGATTCCCAAGCCAAATCAGATTACGCCATTTTCGGTGTCACAAACTGGTTAGCAGACTTTAAACACGGAAAATGGGCAGGCAGCCAGAAAGCCCGAAATGTAACGAGCCACTTTCTAGCAGACATGACCCTTGGTTGAAACTGATCGCCGACACCAGAGTCTTATGTCCCAAATGAGGATAAAAAACTGCCCTACTAACTCATACTTTCATATGCTAGACAATAACAGGGATCCGACCTGCCGCACTGCACGAGATGTCCCCGGAGACACTAGCCAATCCATTGACTGGGTGATTTGTTGTGATAGAGGCCAAGAAAAATGTAGAGTCCCACATCACGACAATGTTACATGGCCCAGCAGATGGAGCTGTTTGCCAGTGTACTAGCCGGAGATTTATGAGCTCAAGCCTCAACTAGTATATGTGTTTTATGTATCTTAGTTAATATGGGCGGTTTGTGATTAGTAAAACACTATACCATTTAAAAAAATTGATGAAGAACTCAAAACCCAGTAAAACGATGTAACCTGTCATTAGCACCATGTTTTAACTATTGTCTTTGGTCTATACAACAACACAGGTGTTCGCAAACTAACTTCACTAAAGGATTTTATCATCACTGAAAAATGTTTCAACAACACAACTGGAGTTCAGTTTTTCAGTCTGTTATAAGGCTTCTATGATAATATTCTCTCGGACGAAATGCACACACAACCAGAAGACACACCACGAGTAAAACACGGTGATGACAATCCGTTTTTAGACATTTACCTGATGTTTAATACTATGACCATTTTGAGACTGTGTCATCATAAAACTTACTAGGAAATTATTGCACTGTAAAAAGGGTATCTCATTATAGGATACTACTCTGGTCTAAAGGAAATTATTGCTACCCGAAAATCCATGGTGTTTATCTATAAATTATTTGTGGACACACGTAAATGCGCAGACACGCTCTCTGCATCTTCTTTATTGTGGGGCACCTGAAAGGTCGCATCATAGTTGTGTTAACATCGCGTCTGCAAAGTTCAGTTAACGGCGGAAATAAGTTTGGGAGAGGGTAGGGGAGGTCATACGAGAGCTGTAAGATTTTTTTGGATTAAAAATAAATATATTAAATAATACTTTTTAAAACTTTTTTTCTTCTACATTTTTAAAGCTAAAAAGAAAAAGGGAAAAAAAATAAGAACTTATTTTAAAAAAAAAAAAAAAAAAAAAAAATAAAAAAAAAAAAAAAAAATATATTAAATAATAATTTTTAAAACTTTTTTTCTTCTAAATTTTTAAAGAAAAAAAAAAAAAGGGAAAAAAAAAAAAAACTTATTTTAAAAAAAAAAAAAAAAAAAAACATTCTATCAAAGACGAGTTTAAACCAATAAAAGGATAAAATAATTTGAAAATTCCTAAAATGCATTGTGCAGAGAATTTCTGTGCAAAAATGCGTTCTTTAATTAATTAAAAAACAAATACATTTATAAGTTTCGTCTAAATACAATTTGAACCCTTATGATACATACCGGTCTCATCTACACTTCCGCACAGTCTTTCCTTGCGCTCTGAGTCTACCCATGGTCTGACTTTACCGATATCATCTCCATCTATTCTGGGTCTTTTTTTGAAATGTATTTCTTAATTTTTAAAATGTAAGAAAGCTCAAATTTAAATGATAAAATCTATAACTTACTCGCAGATGTCATCTTTCAATGTCCTGGATAGTACCGTCTCGGCCCTATCGTTGCATGAACTGCACTTTTCTTTGACAATTTTAACTATATCCTTGATGTGTTGTTCTGACGACACTGCGATAATTAGAAGATGATGTAAACAACCAGAACTTATTATTTAGATTAACGTTACAAATTTCAAACAATTCCATGTATCTATATTTTAAGAAACATCAAATACACAAGGAACCGTTTATTGTTATGATTTTGTTCCTGTGACTATAGCGTCTATCAAGCAGTGATTCTAATAAACTAATATGTAAAAAAAAAATGGACTTGCAAAGACTATCTGTTATTTTATTTTCAATTGTTAAAAAACACAAGGATATTAAAAAGAAATGTCAAATTATTACATAACCAATCACATACTTTACAAATTTTAAATTATGTACTATACACCTAATATCATATAAATCCTTTAAAAATAAAAATGCCCTTTTCGTTGCCCTGAAATATTACAACACAACCAACGCAAATTTTTTTGTGTTTTTGTTTTCAAAATTATACAATTTTAAATACTCTCACAACCATTCGCTTCTTCCAATGCCCTTTTAAGAACTATTATATCTTCACGTGCATATAGCTTTATAGATAACTGATGCGTAAGCCTTTTTATCTCTAACTTCATTTACTGAAACTAGTAGCACTTACCCCCAAAACCAGGTGTTATCTGACATAGGCACACAACTAGGAACAAAACAACTGAAATATAAAACAAAAGCAGAAAAAATTTATGGGGCCATATATGGGGTTTACCATTTAAGTTTAAGTATACCAGCAACACTGTTCTAAGACCTTTATTTAGTTCGTATGGCAGCTGCAGACGAGCAGTTTTTTTTTTTTAAATAGACGTATCTTTGTCGTTGAGGTATAGTGGTGAGCGTAAAAAATACGTGAATAAAAATCATAGGGCTGAATAATATACTAGCTTCAATCAGGAGATTATATTAATTTGGGGACAGAAGTCATTTTTTTTATCTCCTTGTGTCTTCTATAAATTATAGGGTTGTTAAAGGTTTGGAAACAATCATTTGTTGAACTGAATGATGCGACAATGTTGCAGTAAGCTTTTTCCCCCTCTTTTCATGCTTTTCCCCCATAGACAATGCTTTTCACAAAGTCTCCCATTAAGTTTTCCGTGCTTTGGCAGACGTTTCTAACGCCAGTCTTCCTAGTTTGTGTTCCTAAATTACATTTAAGGACTAACCAGATAAGATAAATGAAATCTCATGAGCTTAAATTATTAAATGTAGCATGGTATCCAGCACAGTGGGATTTATTGAAATGAATTAGAAAGTTTTTTTTGTTTTTTACCTTAATTTATAAAGAAATATTTTAAAAATTACCTAGACTTAATTTTGCCATCTTGAACAACCTGAAATATAGGAAAAGTTAATCCAATAAAGTGAGTTTATCGGGGAAAATCAATAAAAGAAATCAATGTATTCCACATTAAGTAAAATCAGATGTTTGAAAAGCGCCAAGAAACCTTAGAAAATAGTAGGACAAGACAGGTCTTTCAAAGGTAATGGAAGAAACAACTCTGGCAAGTAATTAGTTATATCATATATATTTAAATGTATATGTATAGATATATATATATGTATATTTATGTTTTGTATGTATATATATATATATAGTTATGTTTTTAACAACAAATAGAAATAAAGGCTTAACTTAAATTTCTTCGGTAATATTTGAGACGCCTCACCTTTTGCGCTGATATTTTCTCTCGCTGGTACTGAAAGCACGGATAGGGTTGAATCAAAATGACAACCTTTATTTCAAGGCGCACACGCTTTCCGGACTCGACCAATCAGAAACGACGGCATTTGTTGTCCCGCCCTTAGCTCAAACGTGTTTGACTCGTTCAGTAAGATGTTATATTTAACCGGTAAACCAAATGACATGAAACTTTGCACATAGATTCGTTGGCAATGGCAATACGTTCTATCAAATTTTCAACCGTCTTCCCCCAACCCTAGCCCTAAAATATTAATTTTCAAAATGATTTTCAAGGGGACGATGAAAGAAATATGATGACATTAATTTCATGAAATAAAATTCCCGATAACTGCGCTAAAAGAGATTCTTTTTTTTAAATAAAAATATCGCAGGTGCGTTGGGGATTCTTATAAAGTGCTTATAAAGTAACTTGTGTGCATGTGTTTTTTTTTCTTCTAATTTGTATCGCCTCTCCTATTGCTTGTAATTACATCTTATAAAGGATTTATACTTAAAACTTTGTTTTTAGAGGTTGTTAAATGTTATTTTTTTACTTGTTTTTGGGAAATACTTTCATTTTATTTGATAGCTGTTTGATGATTACTCTGACCATTTCTACTCCAAAACGTGTGTTTAAAAACATTTCATTGAAATAATTGTATTCGTAATAAAAAACTTAGAATAAATTTCTTTTTGACAGCTTTGACTGCACATGGGCCTTAGAAAGAGCTAATTTATTTGTGGGAGGGTAATTTTATTAGAGTATTAATATAAAATACATCCTGATGTCAATTAGTGTTTAGTTACAAAATATGTTTCAAAGCAATTTTTAACATTGAATATAGCCAAATGTTAGGTTTGCAAAAGCTTTTGGGAAAGTATGATCGACCAAGAAATTAATTTTTAAGTCAACTATGGTACCACTGTGACATGCCTTTAAGTCCTTCTGCTTGGATTATTAAATTAGAGTTTCGTTTATACTACGGTAAATATTATTTAAATTTTTATTCAACATGTTTTATGTTGTTGTTGTTTGTTTTTTGTTTTTTAATAATATAATATTTTAGGCTAGAGTCATCTTGCTCTGGAGTAGCCGTATATTCATTTTAAAAAATTGGTATATGTATCCAAAGATATCATATCAGGACATTTTTTTTTTAAATTAAAAATTATCCTGCCATTTAAGTGGTCTGCTTGATTTATCTGACAACGTCGTTCTGTTTACCAGGGACCCACCCAAAGTCCTACAAACACGGCCACGTTACTGAAACGCATTAACTGCTGCCGCTACCGGGGCCTCACATGCTATCTTGAGCCAACAGCTAAGCCAATGTATTAGGGCATTTTCTCTACGCAATCTTTTTTTCTTTTAAATTATTTTTTTAAAATATTGACTTAACCATGACCATTGTCTTAAATACGTAACTAGGTCGTTGGTGTGGAAATCCTCGAGTCGTTTCACTACGGAGAAGGATCATCAAAGAGAGTTGAATTCCACTGCGTTGCTTTTAATATAGCTTTACAAATTGATCTATTATCTCTACTTTAAAAAAAATTGGACGCTTGATGTTTCTAAACGTAAATAGTTCAAATCAAATCAATGCATCTGAAGTGCCTATTTCATATGATTCTACCTATTAAAAGTTATCTTCCTTGGCGTAATGCATTTGAAGAATTCTGAAAATATTATATATATTTTTATTGCATTTTCACATGTCTTTGATAGATTTTTTTTTTTAATTTAGGCATCCCATGCAATCACTTCAAATTTCCTTCGAGTCCTCATCCCCTCTCTTTTTCCCAAACCCTTTATTAATTAACTGAACCGCTGTCAAATAAAAGCTAAATTAACTGTCACATTAAACTATAAAGTATTTAAATTGGAGGCATACGCTGTCAATTAGGGCGTGGGGTCTATTGTATCCTGTTCAGTTTGTTTTTGTGTTTTTATTTGTTGTCATGAATGCATTAAAAATACTTTTATCTAGAATATGTCACCTTGTCATGCCTATTTATAAATGTATCTCTCTTTATGTGTTTTATGTTTTCTATATCAAAGCGACACCAGGATCAATAATACATTTTTATTTTTAATTGGTCATGTATGATTTCCAATTTCCAATACAAATGCTCTTTTAAATGTCCTTTAAAAATATGAAAGAACCGCATACAGAATTATAAGTTGTTTCTTTTTATGTTATCAGTTAACGGAGACTGATTGATTAGCTCCCATTTCATTTCTTTATTTTTAGTTTTTCTTTACAAGTTACTTCTTTTTTCTATAGGTACATGGCGACTGATTAAAATAATTCATTAAACCTGGCGTTAATATTTATCAATACGACAGGGGTTGTAATACAAATGTTACCAATACGTGTGGGTTTTTTTTTTTCGCTTTTAATGTTTTGCGGTTTTAGTGTACAAAACATGTTGGTTGGTGTTGCTGAGAAGAATGAGATTGCACAATATAAGAAACATTTTTCGCTAGCAGGCTGTCGCATTTCACGGGATTACGTTTATCTGTTACTCTGTTTGTCTGGGCTTTAATGAATAACAACCATGGGCTTTAATCAGCAAGAACCATGGGCTTTAATCAGCAAGAACCATGGGCTTTAATCAGCAAGAACCATGGGCTTTAATCAGCAAGAACCATGGGCTTTAATCGAAAATAGTCATTGACTTTAATCAACGATAACAGTGACATTTAATCAACAATTACCACAGGCTTTGATTGACAATAACTATGGGTTTTAATCAACAAAAGCCACGGGCTTAAAAAATAACCATGGGCTCCAATCAACACTAACCCTGGGCTTTAATTAACAACAATCATGGGCTTTAATCAACAATAACTATGTTACATTTTTTTAAGTACGTATTTTCCAAAGTTGATAAAACTAGATGTACCGAGATGTGTACATGTCTGTATAACATGTGACTGAATAGTCATACATTTAGGTTTAAAATGTCTTAGCGTAATGGGCGTTGCCAGGTTTAAGTCTCTGAGTCCCTTCATGCACAGAGATAACAATGTGTCTCCACTGATAAGCAAACCTTTCAAATTATGCCATTGTTTCGCTATCTTTTCTTCCTATGCGTCTCACTGTTTACCTCAAATCGGATTTTTGTTTTGTTTGTGTATATAGTAATGCTTTTTTGCAAATAGTAAGGCCTTTTTGCATATAGTAAGGCCTTTTTGCAAATAATAATGCATTTGTTTGCACATAGTAAAGCTTTTTTAATTTTTATTTATTTTTTGCATATGGTAATGCTTTTTTGCATATAGTAATGCTTTTTGCATATAGTAATGATTTTTGCATATAGTAAGTCTTTTTTGCATAAAGTAAAGCTTTTTTTGCATATATAATGAACTTTTTTGCATATATTAAAGCTTTTTTATTTTTTTAAATATTTTTTTGAAAATAGTAATCCTTTTTTTTTCTTTTTTTTTTTTGTATATGGTAATGCTTTTTGTTGTTGTTGTTTTTTTTTTGCGTATAGTAATGCTTTTTTTTTTTTGCAACTAGTAATTTTTGTTGCATTTATTAATGCTTTTTTATTTTCATTTGGTAATGCTTTTTTTTTCGCATTTATTAATGTTTTTTTGCATTTAATAACTTTTTTCTTTTTTTATTTTTTTTTGTATTTTGTTTTGTTTTTTTTTTCGTATATATTAATTCTTTTTTTCTTTTAATATCTTTTTTTTTTTTTTTTTTTTTGCGAAAAGTAACTTTGTTTTTATATAGTAATGTTTTTTGGACATATAGTAATGCTTTTTTGTGTGTATATATTAAGCTTTTTTTATTTTTTATTAAATCATACTTAGGGAGATTATAATAAAATTAACAATGCGTCCTCTAACATTATTTCTTTCCTTATTTCATGTTTGAAGGCTTCCTAAGTACACAAAGGACTGACTGGAGAAAATACTAAGATCCATGTTGTTTAACAACTATTTTTCCTCTATAATTTAAAAAAATAGCGCATAAATTCCATTATATCGTAAGCAGAGGACATATATAGTTTGATTAACCATTTTAGCTGTTTCAACCCTCAAACCGCAACCTCCACCAACCTGTAGTTGTTGTTTTTTTGTGTTTTTTTTAAATCAAATCCATACATATATATAATATTGGACCATAACTTTAATATATTGAATAATGGGAAATTTAGTTTTAGGGAATAATACTACGTTCTATTGTCTCCCCCTCTAAGAAATGATTAAATTATGTCTGTATAAATTCTCAAAGGCTTTGATTAAAAATGAAAACAATTCCTACTAAATTGGTTTTCCTGAATCATTCATTCCCTTCTAAACCAGGGGTCACTAAACTACGGCCCGCGGGCCAGATCAGGCCCGTGAGGCCAGTTCATCCTGGCCGCCGACGGTACTTAAACTTGCTTGTTAAAACGTATGGAACGCTCTTAATAGTAAATAAATAAACATACAGTATGTGAAATAAATATAATAAATACTCGCAACACATTGCCTAGTGGGATCGAGCTAAGCTGGCGTGAAAAAATATTAATTTCTACAAAAAGATGACCAACGTTTATATTGCAATCTGCGATCACTTTGTTTTGCAGACGTGTATTTGCCATTAATATTAATTTATACTGAGTGGACTTAGAGATCACATTATCACAGTCTATCACATGTTTAAAAAAAAGTTACTGGTGAAATTTAATGTGGTTCAAACTCGATGTCAGATCAGCATAAAACAAGATTTATTTAAATAAAATTAAATTAACAAATTATAACATCATTTAAAAACCTACCAAGTAACTTTAGGGTGTTTATTTTAGGAAAATCTGGTTTAAAAAACATAAAAAAATATGAGAATAAATTTCCATTAAGCCTACTCCCGCCAAAGACTATAGTCTGATAACTAGCACAAGCTGTAAATGATTATAAGAAAGAAGAGTGTTGGAAACATACGGCGACATTCAAATTCATAGTCACCGTGGTTGGAACTAACAGCCCTTCAACAAGTTCAGTTGTGCGGAGAACAGAACAATTTGGAGAGAAAATGGTGCTACAGATACATGAGAAAGCGAATAACTTGATCTACTAATCTTCCACAACTTCTCGTGTTTATTTTCGGTGTCAATTCGAACTGTCAGATCAACGGAAGCGTTGGCATCCGTTTGCAGCATGCATGGAACAACTTACGTCTGTGAGCAAACATTTTCAAAAATAAAGTTGATGAAAACAACACATGGAACGAGAGAGATTGATAACATTTGAAAACAATTCTTTTGATTTGATGCGGCTATTCCAAACGTTGATGATATCTTGAAAGTCAAACTTCAATTTCACAAATCTCACTAACATGTTTTGCTGCTTAGTTTGTGAGATTCGAATATGTGCGTACTAGGTCTGAGGTAAATATCTTTTTGCTCACATC